ATACACTATGGTCTGCATTTCTTTCTTTCTTTTTGTAACAGTCACCTGAAAAAGAAAAGATGTAGCATTTGCTGTTCCATGTCTGACATATCATAGCGTAGCCTCCAATTCCAACCATTTCACTGAAAACTAGAGGATGTCACTTGATAATATCCCACAGCGCATGTCTGCCACATTTTCTTTCTCCATTCACCTACTGGTAGAAATCTACTTTGATTCAGTATCTTAATTATTAAGCCAAGTGCCACTATCAATATTAGCACTCTCAGGTCTTTATCGTGTACTTGATTTTTTTCTTAAATGTGTACCTGGCGGTATGACAGTTGGTCCTATGGCAGTTTTATTTTTAATTGTTTAAGGAACCTCCTTACTGCTTTCCATAGCGGCTTACTAAGTCACATTAGTGTGTAAGAGCTCCGTTTCCTCCACATCCTCACTGACATTTTTATTTTTGACTTTCTGATCATACTCAGAGTGGCTGTGACCAGAAAAGAGAAGTATCTCCTTGCATTAGACTCGCATTTTCAGAACACCTAATGAAGTTGAGTGTGTTTCCCTGTGCTTACTAACCAGTTTTATGTAGTCTTTTGAGACACCTGTCTTTATAGTTTGCCCATTTTACTTGGGTAATTTAATTTTTGTTAGATTTTTAAGTTCCTTATATAGTCTGGATATATGTCCTTTGATGTACTTTTTGTAAAAAAGCTTACCAAACTTTCTTTCTGGACTTTGTTTCTTCGGTGTGCGGATTGTGTCCTTTGTCATGCAGAAGCTTTATCTGTTCATCTATTTTTGCTTTTGTTTCTGGAGGTTTGGATTTCTTTTCCTGAAAACACTTACTACCAATAACATTTTTTTTTTTCAGTACTGGGGATTTTTTTTTGCAGTACTCAGGACCTTTGCTTGCCAGGCAAGCATTTATTCTACTGAGGTATCTCCCTGGCTCCAACACGGTCTTGATTTGCTTCACATAAGGTTTTTTTCCTAATCATTTCATAGTTTCTGGCTTTTCATTGAGGTCTTTGGCCCATTTTGATTTATTTTTATGGAGTGTGAGACATGGGTCAAATTTCAGTCTTCTACATATGAATATCCAGTTTTCTCAGAATCATTTATTAAAGAGTATAGCCTTCCTCCAGTGTGTGTTTTGGTGACTTTATGAGGAATTAGTTACCTCCAAATACATGAGGTTATCTCTAGGCACTTTATCCTGTTCCATTCATCTGTGTCTCTTTTGATTTTCATCTTTTTATTGAACCCAGATAGTTAACACCTCCAATTTAGTTACTTCTGCTCAAGATTGCACCACCTATTCCTGCTCTGTCCTACTTCCATGTGAAGTTTAGAATTCTCTTTTTCTAATTCTGTAGAAAATGCCTTTGGTACTTTGGTGAAGATTGCATTGAATCTGTAGATTGGGTAGTGTGGATATTTTACAGTATTAGTTCTTCTTATCCTCAAATATTTTCCTTTTTATGTAATAAAATTTTATTTATTGCAATTTAGTAATTTTCATTGCATAGTTTTCTTTCATTCTTTATTTTTGTCCTTCTGGTAGCTATCATGAATACTTTTCCTTTCATGATTTCTTTCTCAGCAATGTCATTAGTGGTATATAAAGATGTCATTGAATTTTTATACATTCATTTCATATTCTATAACTTTACTATAATCATTTGTTAGTTTACAGAGTGTTTTAATGGATTCTTTAGGTTTATGTATAAACAATCATATCATCTACAAACAGTGATAATTTAATTTTCTCTTATTTATATGTCTATTTATATTCTTTTATTTCTTCTTCTTACCTTATTTTTCTGGCTAAAGTGTCCACTACAGTGTTGCTAACAGTGGACAGCTTTGTCTTATCCAGATGTTGGAGGAAGAACTCTCAGCTCTCCCCGTTTGGTATAAGGTTGACCAAGAATTGGTTGTATGTAGCTCCATTTAACAGGCAATGTGGTTTGGCCCCACTCTGTCTTGATTTCTTTGGTTAGGATGGTCTGTCCTTCACCAGAAGTGGAGTTTAGCACCTCACTGTGCTGGACTCTACCTCTCCCTTGAGTTGCGCACTGACTGCTGTATAACGCTGAGTACTCCAGCACTGGCACCAGTGTGTTTTCAGCTTCCATTTCCACTTGTCCAACTGAAAGGCATCCTATGGTGCCTTTCTTGGTCTCTCCTAACAGTTTTTGTTTTCTTTTTAATTTTCAAGTCTATTATTTCTGATATGAGAATAGTTCCTCCTCCTTGCTTTTGCTTCCTTCCCCCTTTTGTGGAGTTCCTTTTTCTGTCCTTTCATTTTACATTGTGAGTTTTTTGTCGGTAGTCATTTTGTAAATTATTTCTATTTGTATCTGTATGTATCATTTTATAAAATTATTTCTATTTGCTTCAATTATTCTTTGTGCTATTTTTTATCCTTTACTCTTCTTCTTTGTAGTTTAATATTTATTGTACTAATAAGGGTTTTTTAACTGTTTATATTTTATTTCATACATCTGCTCTATTTCTTTTCTTCTTTTCTTTGGTGGAGGGAGTAGGAATCAAACTCATGACCTCATGCTTTCCAGGCAAGTGCAGTGCCACTGAGCTATATTCCCAGCTCATGCACTTGCTCTTCCAATGTATTTTATACTTTCATTTGCGGGGGATGGTAATTGTTTTTTGTTTGCTTGTCTGTTTTGTTTCAATTTAGGCACAGCACTTCCTAAAACATCTTTTGTAAACCTGGTCTTGTGGTAGGTACTTCTGCAATTTTTAGAATTCTGTCTGATATTTTGCTTGCTGTTATTGTTGTTGTCGTTTCTGTTTTTGGTTTTGTGGTGCTCAGAATCAAACCCAGAACTTTATACGTGCTAGGCAAACGCTCTTCCACTGAGCTACATCCCTGGCCCCTGTCTTAGAATTGCAACAGCTTGACTATGACATGCCAGGGTATTTTCTAGTTGTAGTCCCTTGTCGCATTATGGGCCTCCTCCACCTGGATGTACAGAACATGCATGGCCCACAATTGCGGAAGCTTTCAGCTATTATTTCATTAATGAAGTTTTCTAGGCCATCTTTCCTCTCTTTTCATTCGAGTATTTAAAAATGCAACTCTCTCTCTCTCTCTCTCTCTCTCTCTCTCTCTCCCCCCCCTTTCTTTTTTCTGACTGGGCTATTTCAAATTTTCTGTTAAGTTCAGATATTTTTTTCCTGCTTACTCTGCTTTGTTGTTGAAGCATTCAATTGTATTTTTAAAAACTTATTAAATTCTTTATCCCCAAGATGTTTGTTTTCTTTCATCACTATGTTTATCCCTTTACTGGCTTTCTCACTCAAACCATCGCTTCCCTAATTTCATTAGACTGAGTTTTCTTGTATCTTAGTTCCCAAATACTTATTCTTTTAAATTATCAGGTACTTCATCGGTATAGATTTCTTTGATATCTGCTGCTATAAAACTACTGTGTTCTTTTGGAGGCATTTTTTTGTTTGTTTTTTCACATTTCTTGTCATCTATGTTGATATTTGTACACTTGATGAATCACTTATGTCTGCCACTGTGACATGGGGTCTTTCATAGCAATCAACTTTCTCCTGAAGGCCTGTCTGGGTGTTGGCTTCATGTGCTACACTGGCTTTGGTTGCAGCAGGGCACCTGCTGTCATCTCCTGTGGCTTCTTCCACCATAGTCAATTGCTTTGGGTTCAATGTGTGTGCCACAGCAAGATCAGGGAGAAACACTTCTCAGGGTTCACATGGAGGTGGAGACATTACTGGCCTAGCTGAGATAGTGTACACAGCAGAGCACCCTTATGTGACCACCCTTACTATGCAGCGATGGCATCAGGAATTGCAGAAATAAGGGACCATTCAACATCCACACTGTTCTAGCTGGACCCACCCATGGCTGGGCACAGAGCAGACACCAGAGTGGAGCACTGTCCTCTTACCCTGCATCTGGCCTGAGGCACAGGCACAGCAGTGAGCCCCACACGCAGACACCAACCCACACGGACCAAGGTCCATCAGAGCTGTCGCAGGGCTGTGCAGAGGAGGGTGGCAGCAGCACAGCCATCGCAGAGTCTGTCCCAGCCAGTGGCAATGAAGATCCAATGCTCCACCTGCAAGAACAGGTGGCAACAGGTCCCTTGGCTCTGTGATGCCCCCATTCCTATGGCTGTCGTAGCCTTGATTCTTCAAGACCAGGGCCTCCTGTCGCAGCCTTCCCTCCATGAGGATTTGCCTGTCTGTGCTGTGAGGAGCACTGACTGGGCACTGGATCACTGTCCCCCTGCAGGTCACCTTGGACTCCTGAGGCCGTAGTCCCTTGGGGTTCATGAGCTGGGTTGCTGTTCACTCAGTAGCTCCTCTATCTTTCCAGGTTCTGGAGGCTGTAGGGAGGAGATGTGAATTCCTTTTCCAGAGCAAAGCTACTCTTCCATCCCCAGGTTGTCACCTAGCTAGACTGCAAGTCTGTAACACCCTGAGACTGTACAGTGGCCAAGGGTAGATGGCCAGTGTCTGAGCTGCTGGGGTTCACTAGTCCAGCTTTCCTGGCTCCTCTCATGTACTGAGTTGCTCCTACAAGGAACCCCAGCCTTCTCCCCTGCCCACTGTCCTCCAATGCAGCTGCCACCTGCAGCTTTAGTTCTTACATTTGGAGGGGGCCACAAGTGCTGGGCAACTGTGTGACCTCCTCAGAATCCCACCCCCAGCATCCTTTTATCCTTTAAGGAAGGAAACTGGCACGTCCTCCAAGTCCACAGTATCAAACTTTTTGCTGCTAATTTTTCTGTCTGTCCTTGTGCCTCTATGCTTTCAGTAATGGGACATTCTTTTACCCATAACACTAGATGCCAGGTGCCATCATTGTCCTTTGAAAAAGGAGCATTGCAGTGTGTCCTGCTTTATTCTGCAGCAGCTCAGGTGCAGTTAGGTACAGGTAGCACTGCGGGCTTTATTTGTAGTCCATACACTGACTTCCTGTTGTTGCTTCCTTCTTCATATCACAGACAAAGCTCGGAAGGAAAGCTCTGCTGTCTCCATTCCAAGACACTGCCTAGAAGCAGGGCAGGAAGAACTCATCCTCCTTCAGGAGAAAGTAAAAAATGGGAAGCTGTCTGTGGATGAAGCCCTCGAGAAATTCAAACACTGGCAGATAGGAAAGAGCGGCCTGGAAATGATTCAGCAGGTAACGATGACCCGTTGGAAGCCTTGGTATGTTCCCTGGTGCATAGACTCCTAGGGCTTGGTGGGATCGAAATACAGGAGAAATATGGGCAGTTGTTCTGTTGTTAACTGACAACTACAAAAGCTGTTTGTAAAACTCAGTTTAGAAGCATGAAAGTAGCACGGAGATTTCACCTTTGCCAGCTCATGTTGGCGAGCTCAGTCCTGGAGGCTGGTGATCAAGGCTAACCCCCTAATGAGCTGCTAACACCTGTGCTTAATACAGGAAATGCTTGCAATCATGTCAAGCAAAAGTCAGAAATGTGAAATATATATATATATATATATATATATATATATATATATCACACATATATATCACACATATATATGACATATATGATACCAGAAGATTAAAATCGTGTGTGTGTGTGTGTGTGTATGTGCATGCATGTGTGTGTGTGTGTTTTTTTTTAATCAAAGCCAAGAATTTTAACTTCGGATAAATTTGCTTTCCTGTCTTCTATAAACATAATTTATATCTGGGGAGAGGATGGAAGGAGGTGGTTCTGAGATGGGCATGGAAACCAAGTGCATCCACCCCTCCCTGATGCTTCCCCTGCAGGGCGCCAGGACCAGCACCTCCCTATTGAGCAGTCCTTCCTGGCCCTGAAGTATTGTGGCACCACTTTTCTTCTCTGTGCCTTGCTGACCCAGAACCTTGCTCCCAGGTGGTTACACACATTTAGTAAGCTATTGAGACCAAATTGTAAATTATAATAGCTTCAGACACCATCTTCCCCAAGAGATAAATTGTATTTAAAAGACAATGCTTAAAAGAATATATAAAACAACAAGAAAACAAAAGTCACAGTGATGACATTTCAAAGAATCTGATATAGAAGCAAGAGACAGTGTAAGTACAGGGACTTTCCAAATACTTCTGAATTCATGCCTGGGCAAAAATTACCTGTCTCCAATAGCAGCTCTGGCACTGGGCCAGATTATGCAATGCCAGTTTATGCAATATTATTCTGACAAACACAGAATGTCCACTGCAAACACAGCTCAGAAATGTGACAGACATGCCATCTCATGCTAGCCAACACCACAAACCCACTGGTCTCTCTCATCCTGAAAGGGGCCAAAGGTACTGAAAGACAAACCCAGCAGTGCTACAACAAGTAAATTTTATTGATTTAAGAGAAGACCTTTAATAAAAATTTCAGTTCAGAATAATGCAGCTTCTGGGAAATTATTTCACTAGTCATTCCATTAAACCATTGGTTGCTTTTGTTTTATTTGAACATTTATTTTCTATCTTTGGGGAAGAATTTAAGGAGAACCATACTTACTCCATGGAGACTAATGTGACTCATCTAATAGGGAGAATGAGATCATGATTATAATGTCTATGCAAAAAAAAAAAAAGATTTTTTTTAACCTGTAAACACAGGCCAAAACACATTCAGAGTATTTTTCATCAGACCCAAAAATTTACTATGTTTGAATCAGCCTGTCCTTAACATAGGGACTGGGACAAAAATCCAGACAGAAAAAACAATAATAATAGTAATAACAATATCCGCCTCCATGTCCCCAACACACAAACACACCCCACAACACAGACTCCTTTTCACCACTCTATTATGGTTGGAAAAGCACTGATTTGTGTCCTAGGGATAAGTTTATTACAGAAAGTTAAAACAATTATGGGGAGGGAGAGAGAATTGTCCTTGTTCATTAGTAGAGCTTCAGGAAGGTGAAGGGCCAGGTAGCACCCTGGTATCACAGGAGGAGACAGGAGTACTGCCTGCCTGGCTGTTCCTCACTGAGGAATCACCAAGGTGACCTGACTGGGCAGCTCTACTCCAGGAGGAGATCTGGGAAGAACTACAGAAAAGGGTTTCTAGGTTCCCAGGCAAATCATGAGGAAAAGCATGATTCTTGGTTGCCTTCTAAAAGATTCATTGCCTTTTAGTTTGTTGTTCTCTAGTGGGTTAAAAGAATGTAGAATAATGTGGAAATAATGATGTAGAATATGTGGGAAACAAGGAAAGAGCACAAAGGTGCTAAGAAAGAGAACTGAGCTGCACATCTTCTGTTCCCAAGTCCCTATCTTAACACTTAGAGCACAAGGAGGGAAGGTCCCTACCAAGTACAAGGGCTGTGCTCCGGTACCAGGAAGCTATCCCTGTGTAATGCAGTTCTGATGATTTAGGCCCCTGACAGCAAGTGTAGACTCAAGGAATAACACTTTCACAGGGATTAGCCTTCTGGGTCTCATCCAGACTCCACCAGTACTCACTGTCTGACTTGGGAAGGTCACTTCACCTCTCTGCATCTTGGTTTCTACATCTACAAAATGAGAGGGTGATATTTTACACCCCTTCCTACAATGGTGAGGACTAAGTAAGATGATCTTCATAAAGCACCAAGGATGAGGGGGGGCCCAGACCACATAAATACAAAATGAACACCAGCCCATAGTGTTAATGTTTTCTCTTTGAGCCATGAAAAATGTAAATCTTGACTTCCATATGCTGGTCCTTTATTCTATACCCTGTGTCCTCATTAAAAGGAAAAGCTACGCCAACTACGAGACACCATTATTGGGAAAAGGCCGGAAGAAGAAAATGTTTGTGGTAAGTGAGATCTGCATACTCTCAAAAATGGTAGAGGGATGGAGTAGGAAACATGGAACCACTTCTGGCCTGTGCCGAGTCACTTCCGGCTGTCTGCCTGGAGCCATTGCTCTCCCTGTTCAGGTTGCTTATTTGCAAAGTAAGAAAGCTTATATACACACACTGACAGTGCATGTTGAGTTGGCATATCAAGTATTTCTGTTCTCTGACCTGCAATGACCCCTCCCTCCAGGCTCATTACTCTCTTTTGATTTCTGTATGAGCTATGTTATAAATAGGGCAATTCTGTTCCTTTGTTAATTAGTCATTATAGAGGGAATCATAATTAAGGAGTCATACTTTTTAATAAGGTGGAATAGCCTCAGTATAGCCAATTCTCACAATTTTCCACATGTGGATTATTTTAAATGATAGTGTCCCTGTTGGTTTTCCCTAGTGCTCCTGTGCTTCCGACTAATGCATATTCCCCAGGACAATAATTACTGGTTTCTGTGGTCATAGGGGTTGTGCTCAATGGTAACACAAACCAAATGTTATTAAGATGGTAAATTTCCTCCAAAGATAAACACTGCATTCCAAAATTGAAAATAAATTGTGTTGTCACTGTCTGCCTGCTCTTTTCCCAAGTCTCTACTCGCATAGATAATTAAAAACTAACAACCACTAAAGAAGTTTAAGAGATTCCAACTCTTCTGCTTTCAATAACACTGCATAGCTTTTAGGTAGTGGAAATTTCCTGCTGAAATTCAGGGTGTGAAAATTCATTTCTCTTCATATTATTGAACTGTTACCTACTTTCCCATAGAGAGTTCTTCAAACTCTGAAAAATGTTTCCTAAAGCAGAAATTACTTCCTCAAATACTTAAGATCATAAACATGAGACTAATTTATAAGTAACAAACTTCCACAGCTTCATTCTAATGTGAAATGGGATTCAAGTAAGGAAAATGACTTTTAGAAACTAAAATCCAAGGGTCACATAGATTAGAAATTGCTACCCACTCCATTTGAGTTCAAGATCCATGTTCTTAATTATGGGTTTTAGCTCAGTATCCGTTAGTTCATCCTCAGACACGAGAGTGAGGTGTTGCAGACACATGGTCCACTTGTATGGAACACTGACCAGAGCCTGGAAGCATCAGAGTTCAACAAGCAGATCACACACAGGCAAAGACAGCCCAGAGGGAGCAGCAACGAGCAGTGCTCACTGCTGTGCTTGTCTCTGCCAGAGATAACTTCCTGACCATGGTTTAAGCAAAGCAAGGGGCGGCATGCTAGCCCCACCTCAAGGACCTGTGTGGAAGGGCCCTGGAGAGCAATGACTCAATGGTCCACAGGAGGATCTGGGAACATCTGAAGTATTCATGCCTATGGTAAAACAACTGAAGGTACACCAAGTGGCAACTCCTAGAGCCTGAAACCAAAACAGGGACACTAGAAAAAGAAAAATTCTGTGCTCCTGTCTTGCCATGAGAGGGAGATCTTAGCATCTTCTTAAAGCACCAAGCATCCTTAAGAAATACCCAAGAGTTGTAAGGAGGAAAAACCTTCATTTAGAACAGCTACCCTAGCTATGCTGCAAGAAAGCCTACAACACACATTGAGAGAAAATATTCTCTCAGGCTTTCACAAAGAGCACATTGGCCAAGCGATGGTCATGACTCATCACATGGCTGACACTGACAAAGGTTCTACAATCTGAGGTACAGGATCTCAGGATAAA